TTAGAGTAGCAACAGCTGCGAGGGTCCATTCGAAAGACAGACAGAGGCGTGGTGTAGTTGATATCGTCGCAATTCGGTAGAGCAGTGCCAGAAGGCGTGGACTGATCCCACCCCCACGGCGCTTCTGCCCAATAGTGGTCGGTTCAAGTAAAAGACAACCAATGGTAGAAAACGCCGCGGGTGGGCTCATGTCACGCCTCCTGACACCGCCCCGCCGGATAACGAAAACAAGAAAAGAGAGTCGGCACGGGAATAAAGCGTTACCGGAACGCCCCTTTATTTTCCTGTATGGATTGCGGATTGGAGAACGTACAGTTTTGTTCGCTACAGGCTAGGTCGTTTCAGGAGGGCTGAGTTTGGCGCGCCGCCAGCCCGTTCTTCACCATTTGTTGAAGCGGGAAAACCATCTCCTGACACGCCCCGTCTTCCACAGCGAACCAGTTTGTAGAAATACTGTTGAATGAAACAATTCCATACCTGTAAGGATGGTGCCAAGAATCAGAGCTACGCTCATAATGATGTTGCTCGTAAGCGTGTTTATGCTATGCATCACTTTGCCCATTGCCATTGTGAGAGCGATACCGAAAATCTGCAAGAAAGGAAGTTTTCCTCGCCATCGATCCAATACTTTACGTCAGATTACATTGATATTTTTACATGTGCTCCTATGTACTTCTATAAGAACACAAAAATGTTCTAGTATTATTTTTGTATTATTTGCATTAGTATTTATATACAATTTTCAGTAAAAAAGGGGGGAATTAGAAGAGGACTGGCGAAAGGGGTGTGTACTCCCGGGAGTACACAAATAGGAGGAAGAGGAGCCTTCGCATGTACACTCGAAATCCCTGAGATGAAGTAGGCGTGGCTGCGTACTTCAACTAAACGTCGTGGTGGCTATGCTTTTGGAGAGATATTTTCATTTTGACCCAAATGTGGTCACGTCTCTGTCCAACAAAGAACAAGATGGCGGTTGTCTCAAATTGAAATATCCCACGAGTAACAGTTCTGTGCCATGTTCGAATGCCACGCCTACCCCATCTCAGGGATAAGGAGTGTATGTACTCTCAGAAGTGCCCTCGAATGAGTTAAGGAGGAAAGGAGTAAGAGATCACCTGAGCACTCGCGTTCAGCAGACCGCTAGTCGTGCCTTCGGCAGCGGGGAATGTTATTTCGGCTGCAAATTCGAAGCCAATCGGAAGATATCCAGTCATGAAGAACTGAGAGAAAAATACTACGTCACATGCAGAAACGCTAAAGTAAGTTCTTCCAGAATCTTGTTCTCACGCCAAGAAACATGGCTAGCATCCACGAATACTATGGCCAAAAGCCCTGAGTTCAAAAGTGAAAGTGAAGGTTAGCATGGCGAGGAAGGAACAGAAATAATCGAGTAAAGTGGTTAACCTGAAAGCAGCCAATGGAGATTGAAAAGACGGAATGGAGCTTCAAAGCTGAGCCCAAGCTTCCGGTTTTTGGTTGTGACAGGGTTCTTTCAAGGTCTCGCCGCTGCCGTTTGGGTGGAAAATTAGCAGCAAATACAATACCGCCCCTAATTTCTGGTCAAAAATCGGTTTGCGACAGATTTTTCCGTCGCAAACCGTCGTTTTGCCATAACTTCTGTTGATGTGGTCCAAATGATCTGAAAATCAGACCATTCGATAGTCCTGTTCAAGACGAATCCAGCAATGTATAGAACTTCCACTTGCCTCCAATTCTTTGACGTTTTTCAGAAGGAAATCGAGGTTTGAGTCTCCAGTAACCTAAGGTTACACTGCGACAGCGACGCTGCGTCGTCGACCCTCCAGTCCAATTATGAACTTCAAACCAAGTGCCACGAAGCCATAAATACTAGCATATTCAGAAAGAGCATGATTCCGTGATCATTTTGATACTTTTCATGACAGGGTTTCAGCAAGTTCCAGCTGAAAATCATGGTTCATTGACCACTGTTTCCCTTGATATCCGATTGATTCGGGTCTTGTAACATAGAACAGTATTTGACTTATGGCCAACGATCCTGGAAAGCTCTTATCGGCTCCATAGAATACGATGAATAGCTTGGAAGTGCAATGCCCGCCGTAATCGTTCGAAAAAAACGAAAGATCCCCGTTTTTTCTGTTTTTTCTTGCTATGCCTCTTCTCATGTAGACCCATAACGGCTAGACTCAGCTCGATCTCGAGTTCTATATAGACGTCATCCTAAAACAACTGAAACGTGAAATCGAACTCCACTTCCCACCGAAGTACCTGAGGACACTCGTAGCCATCTAACCTCGCTATAATTGTAACCAGCGGGTAAACGTTGGGAATCAAATAACCTCAAAGGAATCAAATGACCTTACGTTACGCAATTATGTTCAGTACCCACGCCATCAGAAGCATGACTTAAAATAGAACATACAACGTTGGTTTCCCAAATTATCCTGATTCATTAGGAGAGCCATTTCCTTAAAATACAGGGATTTTCGCACCTGATGTCTATTCTTGGAGCGATATAGTGCCCTTCGTTCGGAAAATCTCCGAAGCAATGCCAGGGCCCGTGAGTCACGCACAGTTGGAGCACACGAGCACACGGATCAATCTTATCGAGTGCGCATCTTTTTCCCAATCATTCGAGAAATTCAAGGATGACAGCAAGAGATAGCGCTTTTTTTTGGTTGACACACCAAAATGGCACCTTTTGTGCGATACTTAGGTAAAAACTTCAATTTTCCCCAGGCGTTTTTAAAAAGGATTTCTAGGCTCTCACTGAGTAAAACTAGATAATTTTCCGATAAACACCTTACAAACTTGCACGCATAACGTTTTGTAGCTGTAGAACAATTTGGGGAAACAGATGCATACTTGAGAGCGGTTGTTGTTGTGTCCGGCGCCTACTGGTTGAAGACTTCTTCCACACAGGTTCCCAAGTTCACCATTGTTTTTTTCATAATGAGAAAATCCAGTCAAAATCACATCACAACCATTTCGAATCCCCATCGAAAAATGCTGCCTATCCATCGTCCAAAATTACCGCTTATAATCGAATTTCCTAAACGTGTCTTGGTTTCTCCGGCTTCTACGCTACCAGGCGATCAAGTCGACTAAGTAATTATCTCCACTCGAGTGTGTCTGGGCATAGTACTGATCAGTCTACTAATGTCCATCAACTCATTGCTGGTCCAGCTGTTCACTCATCTTATTTTTGTAAAACATTTGTCCCGTACGGACTGCCGTCTGTGAATAACTTCCATTTTCTAAATTTCAATTTTCATCGAGTTTTCTAAAAGTTCAAAATTAAATGCTTTAAATTGCAATTCCCTACATCACTGAAATATTAGTCCTCCTCGTCAGTGACTTCCTCGCAAGACTCTCCGTATGAATTTTCAACTGAATTGTCTGCACTTTGAGAATCCAATAGAATTGGTGAAGTGTCTTGAAACAGCTTTGAAAAATTCCAAAAATCGCTTAAGTTTTTCTGTGTTTAACCAAGTTGAACCCTTGGCAACTACTATTTACACGGCACACAGCAATAGATTGATTCAGTTGCTTTCTCCATCGTTCGTAAAAAAGCCCCCATACGACCCCAGCTCGACCTAAGCGGTACCTGCGCTTATCACCTGAGGACCTTTCTCGCGCATCATCAACAGATTACGGGCCGAATGTGCATGAGATTTCACAACCCATGTGAATAAAGCGGATTCCGATACAAGGCTGAAATGAACTGACCTGTGGAATGCTTGCCACAATTCTATTTGAAGAAAGCCTACCCACATTCTGGAAAGGGACTGATCAGTACTGTGCCCTGACACCTCGATGGGATAATTACTTAGGTCGATTGATCGCTGATAGCGTAGAAAGATTTTTTCAATTTTCATCACTTCTAGAGGACATACTGCTTTCCAGAATGTGGGTAGGCTTTCTTCAAATAGAATTGTGGCAAGCATTCCACAGGTCAGTTCTTCAGCGATGTGTTCGTTTTTCCCCAAGTATTGGTGTGGGGAAGCATCAAAACAGTTCCATATTGTTTACATAAATTCCTCATCGCCTCCTTTCGTTTTCCGCTTCAGCAACTATGAGACAACGAGCGGGTGGTGCGCTGAACACCGCTTCAGTAGACGCCCTATCACCCGCAGCGAGCAATGACGTATGCATCCGAGCTTGTTCTTTTCCACTTGCCATGAAGTTTATAGTCTTCCTCCACATAGAAAAGAAAAAAAAACCATCTTCAAACGGTGTGGCCTCATGAGGCAGCTCACATCGGCACCTCATAGAGATACAATCCTTCTTGATGGAAAGCTGTGCAGGGCCTGTACAAGTTGAGCAGCTGTCAATGTCAAAATGATCCACTGTAGCACGCAACCTCTGAAGAAACCAAGACCAGAGAACCGATAAACATTACGTGCAAAAATCAGGCTACCATCCTATAGGAATAATTGCTTGCCTGATACATGAACTTAGCCGCGAAAAAGGTCCACGAAACCAGAACTGCACTCTAAAACGACTACTCACTTTGCATATGAGCTGTTGGCTTCAGCAAAGCCCTGTGATGGTAATGAGCTTACGTGGAGGTCGCTTGCCGAAAGAGGCTACTGGACGTTTTCTGAAGTGAATACTCAAAAGAATTGCATGTGACGATATGGGGATTCCAATTTGCCATTGAAAAGCTAAGTAGGGAGGACACAAAGTGGGCGCTTGTGATAAGGACCTACACCGTCACATTATTTTCTAGCGCTCATTCGAAATATTCTTCTAGGATTTTCATAAGCTTCTCTCTGAGCATGTTATAAAAGTTTTTCGCAGAACTGTGTTATCAGCGTTTGGACGTCTCATGGCCCGTCACACATTTCAGGAATGTATCCTTGCCGAAAGAGTGTCATCGCTGTTCACAATGTTGATAACTTATCCTGGGAGCAAACTTCTA